GAAAAAAATGAAAACAGAGGAATGAAATGGAAACGAAAGTAACAATCCTTTCAGAATTGATTGTTCGTTCATGAAATCGGTTAAAAACGAATTGTGTTCGAATGCGACAAAGTGAATGCAAGAGCGTCATCTAATACAAATAAACATTATTATTAAAGAAGAGGGCAAGCGCGTACCTTGGCCTCTCTCGCACCATCGAATGTCTCCTCTTTGACGTCCTCTTCTTCAGCATCTGCATCGGATGCAGCTAACACTTGATGTAACAGATTCAGTTGTGCTTCCTTTGTGCTCAATGACAGTTCCTCTTTCTCCATGCCCGGCAGCCTGTTGACAACCTGGAATAAACCTAATGTCATCGTAAATTCATTGTTGGGTTGAAGATCCTTTGAAGTTCCTCCTCAATTTTGTTCTGAAGTGAACTCCATTCTCCACTGAAGAAAACTTCGGCTGACACCACAGCATTAAATATTAACATAAGGATAGCTGAATGGACAACAGCAGTTATTACGATAGCAACAGAAGAATGAGAACCGCCAACCTTGTAAGCGTATCCTTGATTTACCAAGAATCGTTGTCTTTTGCGAGAGTAGCTCATCTCAACGGTATCCTGAAATATCTCTACTATTCAATACCATGAAACAGTTCCAGTTCCAGTGCTCCAGTGGGTTCCCTTTCCCTGTTCAATATGTCCATAGTAAACAACAACTCTACACGATTTCTAGTCTGTTTCATAAAAAGTAAATTATAATTTCTAGAACTGATTTAACAAAAATCATTCAAAAAACATTATTGTGAATGAACGATGACTGTCATCTGATGCACACTACCAACAGTTTTGAGCACTTGCCTGTGAAACAAGCGAATAGAAGAATGCATTGAACGCATCCGATGAGTGCTTTTTCGCTCTCAGAATACGGCCTAAACGTTGAGCTTCTTGCCTTCTTGAACCACCATGCGCTGAGATCTGAATTAAAACGTTCGCCTCTGGTAAGTCAAACGATGTGTCGGCCACCTGCAATAACGAGTGCAATTTGAATTCGTAAAACGCTCTCGTTTTCATCGACCATTAAACAACCAAGGAATAATTGACTGACCTTAGCTGGCTTTCGTAGATGAATTTTGAAGAAAAATCCGAAAACTTCGATTTACTTTCGGTGATTATCATAGCGCGAAAAGGAGTTTAAGTTAAGACAGTAAAGAATGTCAATGAATACGAGTAAAATGAACAGCTTGCTTACCTTTGAAACAAAAATTGTGTTCACTTTTGGATTGTACTGGAAATTTTGCAGGATCTTCAAACGCTCATTCTGACTCGTTTCACCGTACAGGAATGGTTTACTCATTTCGATTGCGTATTTTTTCAACGCGAACACGTTATCTGAGAAGACGATTATCTGAAATTCACGTTTGATGATGCACGAAAATAGAACTGAACACCACAACTTCATCAAATAAAATCATCCCACATAAAAAACCTCGATTCGAAATTATTTCCCACTATAAAAAGCGTATTGAACAATCATAAAGATTTATAAA